CAAAGCTAGAGGACAACTACAACCCTGCGACGTGGATGCTGGAGGTGATCGGCGCAGGTGTGGGCAACAGCAACGGCGACAAGACGGACTTCGTGAAGATCTTCCAGGCCAGCAAGCAGTTCACATACCTTCAGTCTAACTTGGATCGCGAGGGTGTATCTCGTCCATCACCAACGATCCCTGCTCTAGAGTTCAGCGACAAGCGCGCCGCGACAGAGTTGACCCAGGCCAGATTCCTTCTCCAGCGCTTCTTCAGGATGTACTGGCGCACTGCGTCGTACAACGTTACGCGGTTTGCCATCTTTCTCATGCTGGGTCTCGTCTTCGGCATCACATACATCGACGCGGAGTACAGTTCCTACGCTGGCATCAACTCAGGCATGGGAATGCTGTTCTGCACTACCGCCTTCATTGGTTTCGTCTCGTTCACGAGTGTGGTGCCCATTTCATCGGAAGACCGACTGGCCTTCTACCGCGAGCGTGCGGCGCAGACGTACAATGCACTATGGTACTTTGTGGCTGCGACGGTGGTGGAGATCCCGTACGTGTTCTTCTGTACGTTGCTGTTTATGGTGCCGTTCTTCCCGATGGTCGGGTTCACGGGCGCTACCAACTTTTTCGCCTACTGGGTGCATCTCTCGCTGCACGTTATGTGGCAAGCCTGCTTCGGCCAGCTCATGGCGTACGTGATGCCTACGGTCGAAGTGGCCACCGTCTTCGGCATCCTAATGCAGATGATCTTCCTGACGTTCAACGGCTTCAACCCTCCCGGCGCTGCCATCCCATCGGGCTACAAGTGGCTGTACCGTATCACCCCGCACCGATACGTGCTGGCTTTGGTGGCCGCTATCGTGTTCGGAGACTGCCCCAGCGACGGTGATGGCTCAGAAATTGGCTGCGACGTGATGACGGGGCTTCCACCCTCCCTACCCGCCGACATGACGGTCAAAAGCTACTTGGAGACCGTGTTCAACATGAAGCACGGCGACATCTGGGAGAACTTCGGCTTCAGCGTCGGGCTGCTCGTCATCTACCGTGTGCTGGCTCTGCTGTCCCTGAGATTCGTGAACCACCAGAAGAAGTAGAACGTGGTCAACTATTTTGTTGTTCGACGCGACAAAATAAAAAGCCTGCCAAAACGTTTTTTGCATTTGACAAAACGCTTTTTAAGCAATAGATTACTTCCCATTTGTTGCATGCAATATTACCGTAATATTTCGCTTCGGAGAACTTTTGACAAAAAATCAACAAATGCCTTCAGGTAAAGCGACTTTTAGCGGTGCCACAAGCTCATAATGACAAGAAGATAACAAGTAGGCTGTTCATCAAAATGAATTTCATATATCCATGAATTGTTGTCAAGTTAATGACAAGTTGCCATTGACAACCTACCTACAAACTCGACTCATAAAGAAATCGTCTTAAGCCAGCGACTGTTGCGGAGACTTAACCTCCACGAAAGCAGGCGACTTGGGCTGTCCACTGTGGAACAGCTCCTCGATGTCCTCCAGCATGATACCCTTCGTCTCCGGGCAGAAGAAGTACACGAATACGCCGCAGATGCAGCACAGACCCGCGAACA